TTTGTTTGCATAGTCCACAGCAGGAGTATTTGATACTTCTGTAGGGTTCGAAATAGAGATACAAGAATTGCTGCACTACCTGGTTCCACTTCAATTTCCTGTTACTCATTTTGCAGGCTTTGTTTACTTCTTTATCTGTGGGCTGTTATTCAGATAAAAAGGAAGTAAATTCATATAATCTCAATATTTACATGAGTGAAAACTAATGAAGGGTGAAATGGTGAATAGGAGACTCTGGATGATGTTTTTGAAGAAGTTTTTTCCATGTTCACAAAATTAAAAATGTGATTGGAAAGAAATAAAAAAATCTGTCACTATTTTTCAAGCTGTCAGTGGAAATTTTCCTCTGATATATATGTTATAATTCTGGAAAATATGATTATGTCATAGCATTAGCAAAATGTTGCCTACGTTTAACTTTATGGTTTCACTCCCTCCTCTGAGCAGTTATTACTGTTGGTGTGCTTGGTACTTTGGATGATATTTCAGACCTTATTTTTCATTTGAATCACACATTGGCACTTCATGGGTAGCTTGTTACAAACCATTTGGAAAACCTAGCAGTGGTTTAGTAGCAGAAAGTGGAACACTATGCTAGTGTGTTGATTTAATGCCAGACTTCAAAGTGGATGTGAAAGTGCTGAATGGTCTAATTACTTTGACTTTTTTTTTGGTGACTGTTGAAGAAATGAGATCTCACTTTCCACATTTACCCTTTGTACTGGCAGTTCCTGGTGACTCCTCTGCCAGTTGTAAACAGTGTGGTAGGAAAGTCAAACTAATGTACAACAAATTAATGTGTGTTTTTTTTGTTTGCCAAACTTGTCTTCATGTCCAGTCAAGTATTTTGGCTCGTGTAATTTATTTGCCCAAATGAAGTTATTAGCTGAAGATTTGTTTTAACTGATCATTTATTTATTTATTGCTTTATTTGTAGTATTTAAGAATTAGCACGGTGAAGAGAGATTTATTTTTCATTAAAGATAGCTATTCTGTGGAATAGTAACAAGCTCATTTTGATGGAGTGCAGTTGAGCATACTAAATTAATCTTTTTTAAGATGTACAGTGGTAATATTCAAGCAAACCTTTCAAAAGCAGTATCATATTAGCTACAATAAATATTCAGAACACTTCTGTTGACAGTGTGAGAGGAACAGTCTCCTACTTGTTTAACAGATAAACTTTAGACATGAAGTACAAGTATTCTTACTTGAGTCTAAACACCAAACATGACTGCATAGATGCCAGGATACTGACTGCCCTGATACAGATTGATTCTTGTTTTAAGGAACTGAAATAAAAACCAAACACAGAGAGCACGATAATTTTCAGGAGTTGCCAGCACTGATGATATGTGACCTCTTTCTGCACTACGGTGAACTATAAAACCTATTCACAACAAGATTGCTGCTTCCAGTGTGGCTTCTCCATGCCTCCCACACTTCCCAGGCTGCAAGGCCAGACTGGGCATAGTGCTGGGGTACACATTGTGTTGAATGTGTAGTGATTTGGGTTATTTCATATCTTAACTGGGCACAGACAAATTCAATGAAAATTTACTACTGGCTCCTCTGTGCCATTTCAGTGGCCACCTGACTCCCTCAGCCTGCCTTCATAGCAGAGGTGCTCCAGCCTGTAGACTTTACGTGGTTTGAATTTATACATATACACTTCATGAGTCACTTCTAAGCTGGGAAAGGAACCAACCCTAAGAGCAGTCAACTGAGGGTAAAAAAATATTAGATAGCATGGAGCACTGTGTAGACACCAAATGCCTGGTGTTTAAATCTGTAGTAGAGTAAGTGAATATTTTAAACTGTCATAAAATACTCAAATACTTATAATGTGCATTAGCTGTGTATTACTAAAAAATTTGTTCTCACAAGCCTAATATCTTGCAACTATTTGAGTCACATTTTTGCCAATATGCCTGGTAGCTTGCCAAAACTATCTACCTGCTTGTGTGCTGTTCCAGAATAGCACCTTCAAGCAAAAGTCTTGATTGTGACTCTTGCTGTGAAACTGCACAAGGAAAACACAATAAGGCAACTAACTTAGTTGTCATTTTACCAGGTTAGCTCCTGCAACTGTCACTACTGTCACTAGTACCACATGCTTCTCTGGAACATTAGTCATGGCTGCCTATTATTTTATTGCTATTTTACTGACTTTGGACAAAATATATTTATGCTGTGCCAAAAGAACCTCACACTACTTTTCACGTAGGTTGTGAGACCTCTCCTGACTTTCCTAGACCACCAGTAGCTTTGTTCCTTGGAAATCTGAAATTATATAATCTTTTTTTTGTTTTTCCTTTATTTTTTTCCTCCTATCTTGGCATACAGTGGCCCAGGTGGTATTTCTGATGGTTTGCAACAGGGGATGGCAAAGCAACAAGTTGTCTTTGAGCAACTTCAGTGGAAACATAAGAGCAGTTTGTTGGAATGTATCTCGTAAGACTACGTGGTTCAAAGTGTTCTTGGGTATGTGATCCAAGATGAGGGGATGTTTAGGTGTTGCTGAGTAAAATAAAGTGCAGAAGCTGTGGAATGACTTGCAGTGAAAGGAAGGAATTTTTTTTTAACACATACATAGTTGGCTAAAATCTGTCCACAAGTCACAGAAGATTCAAGCGTGAGTGTACAAGCACATGTGTTCAGAGGAATCACTTTTACATTGTGTTTCTGTTTTCATTTCCTGTTTGCCTTTTTCTGCATACTTTTTAAAGAGTTTTCCAGTTTTAGCACTGCATTAAGGTATCCTGTAGCAAATGCACTTGCCTGGTTTTCCTCCATCTTTGGCTAAGCCTTCGATGTGTCCAAGTCTTCTTTATCTTTCTAGCACAACTCTTCTCTCCTGTCTTTGTGCTATTTCATGCTTTCTCATTCCATGCTCTTGTTTAACAAGTGACATGCATAAAAATGTATGAAAGTGCAGCCTAAAAGAACCTGTGGAATTTAATGCACCTGTTTATGTCCAGTATTTTCATATTATTCTTCCTCCTCCTGAACAGGGTGTTCCTGTAATGGCAATAAGAAACAAAATGATTTCTGAAGGGCTAAATCCAGATCTTCTTGAGTAAGTAATTTGTAACTTCCAGTAGGGCTGGAATGCAACCATGTGTTTAAAAAAACTTTGAAAAAAAAGTTTGCTTAGAAAAGCTTGTTGATGATATTGTGAGTCTAAATTGTTAGCATTGAAGCAGGTTTTGAAGTTTCCCGTGGAAGGTATTTTTAGCATTTTATAGGTCTGAAAAGGGCCATAGTACCAAAGAAGGGGGGATGCAATATCAAGTATGAGCTGTCTTTTCAGCATTGCCTAGTCCAAGGAGAGGTCTAGGAAATACAGAGACTGGAATGTAAATGGGTCGGTACTGTACCCTCCCAAACAGAAAGTTGCAAGACTTTACCATTCAGGCTTGAGAGGTGATGGAAGGACTTCTTCCCATCCAAGTAGAGGTGGTACAGTTAAAGGTAAAGACTATAGCAATGACAAGGTGACATTTGACAATTTGCATTTAGTGTTGAGAAATCAAATAGTATGTCAGTAGCCATTTGCACTGTACTATTTAGAGGATGAGGTTTTACCCAGATACTTTATTTTAGCGCTTCAATACAAAAATGTCATCGTGATACAGGAATAAGAAAAAACTGTTTTATTTTGCTGAATGCATGAAGGTTCGCAGAGTTGTTTCCATATTCCCTCAGTAGATGGAAGGTACAATTTTGCTTCCAACACTGACACTGTAAATTGAAGTAATCAGTTTAAAATTGTGACTGTTGATGGAACTAACCTGATGTGAAGGCTACTGAGAAATAGATACTCATTTTCAAAGCTACTTTTCTGGCCATAAGTGTAAATTTTAGGGTTATTTTACATTTGACATGTAATTTAGTTTTACTGTACTATTTCATCTAATTTGTTAAATTGATGAAAATATTAACTTTCCTTCTTAGATTATAGCCACTGAACTGTTTGAAACACTTTTGTATCCTCTGCAAAGAAAAGTGTCAATATATTAGAAAGTCTGCTTCTCCTTAGCAACCTGTTTAGTAAGATAAATAAAAATAAAGAAAAACTGAAGTATCATCATATACTGACTTACTTTGTCTCCCAGCTATCTCCTGGTGACTGAATAATCCTGAAGTATTTATTAATAATTTGATATTTGTACTGTTCTAATGAGAAATAAGAAAAAGAACAGGAACCTGTGCAAATCTGAGATAGGGTTATTAAAGATGGTTTACTCTGTGTGTGTTAAATGTGTTGTATTTTTAAATTCATTTCTGGTCTGTTCCTTTCTGTAAATGCTGCTATTTCCTCATATTTGGATGGATTTTTGTAGTAGATAAAAATAAGATAGTAGGTTAAAATTTCAAAAGCTTTCTTAAAAAAGTACCTGCTTTTTGGACTTTGGACGGATTTGATTTAAGACAAAAAACATTATCCCTGGGAATTGCCCATCATGGAGTATGTTTGGGGTTTGGTCTCAAAGTCCATCTTCAAAATTTGTGTGCAACAGTAATGCTTAGGCAGATTTTCTTTAAAATATTACTAGTTTGAAAACTGTGAATCAAAGCTACCTCGTCAAAGAAAGCTAATTATTTGGCAATGTGCATAAAGCATAGTATTTTAAGGAGTCAGAGGTGATCTTAATTTGTTTGCTTTCTTCTCTCAATATAATAAACTTTTTTACTGTGTATCTTGCCATTCCCACCACGTTTCTTACACCTTCAGATTCCTTAGGTCTGCTCATTCAGTCCTAGGGAAAATTAGGAGAATATACATATTGCTGTATGCTCAGTCATGTACTGCAGACTCTTAACAGCTACTTGCTAGTGACTAAGAGTGGGGCTTTTGTGGCTGCACAGATGCTAATTGTAATAATATTAAGTTGTTTATACTCTCTTCCTTTGGCTGTTCTACTTCTGTTATCACTCCCTTCTCAACTATTTACAGAGTTTGAAAAGTGCAAGCTCCCAATATATCTATTTTGAACTTTTGTTTCTTATCCTTCCTCTCTTGCTGGCCTACAATTCCAGGAGAGTTTGTCCTGCCCGTGCTTACTAAAGGAATTAATTGCTGTCTTCATCTCCTTACTAAAGGAGAGTTTTTGCGCTGGTCTCTGCAGATCACGTCTTTGAAGGGCTTTTCTGTTTTCTCATTACCACAGCAACAGGGAACAATATTGTGAAGTGGTATTTTTCATGAGAAAGCAAATGCTTTCTTAATTTATTTTGGAGGTGTGCAAGAAGAGGGTAAAGGTACATTAAAGGTACCTTAGAGATTTCCAACAGAGAAATTGTAGTAAACAGAACTAAAGTTGGTAAAGAAATTCTGTGGCACGACACCCAGGGCTTAGCCCCAAGATAAGTAACAATGGAATGAATAATGCAATTGTCAGCTTAATTTAAAATGTAATATTGTATTAAAGAGAGCAACTAGCTATCATGCTGGAAGCTAGTTTCTGTGATGATCATTCTTCCTCTTCCCCAAGTATAACTGTATGTATATTTTCTACCTTGGTTTCAGAATTTACAGGGCTCAGTCTTGCTTGTATTGCCAAACTCATGACATACTTTGGAGGAAGACCCCAGGGAGAGCCAGCATCTTTAGTCAGCAGTGATAGTTAGTGTTTAGAGGGCTTGCTTCTCTCTCCTTCATTCCCAGTAGATTCCCTGAGCAATTATTTTGACACAATGATTCTTAAATATTCTCTTCAAAACTGACTGCAAGACGTCTGATCATTTATAGTCAATAAAAATCCCATGGCTGCTCTTGCATGTCAAAGTTAACCCAATGTTCTAGCCGAATTCCACTCTGAGTAATTCTTTTTAGCTTCTCTAAATTATCCCTGCAGTTTTAGTTGGATACAATGTTGTTCATTTCCTGTCTTATTTTTTTTCATGTACCATTTACACTGCTTAATGGTGTACAGCATGTTCCTTTCAGCCTCAGAACCTCTGAAGACTGAAGAAATTTGAATAAATTGCCCACCTTCAGCTCTTTCTGGAAGTGTTTGCTGCTACTTAGTCATCTGTCATTATTTCTCATAACCTCAGGGTGTACGTTCAAACTGATGTCTACAGAGTATTGGTGTCCAGTGAGTTGCACTTTCTAGTGTTTATTTTTGAGTTATAAGTGAGGCAATAACAATAAGGGGTGAGTTTGTAATGTGTTAAATGTGGCAATTAAGTGCATGCGGTTGCAGTGAAAAGACATTAGCATTACGTGCTCAGTTGCTTCTGTTCTCAGTTGCTTTCTAGGATTTACAACACAACGTTTTTCTTGCCTGCAGGACCCCAGATGCCCCCGTGCCTGCCTGGGGAGATGATGGGAAAGCAGAAGACAGTTCTGATAGCGAATCTTCATTTAGTGACTAAAGAGACTGATTTTGACCTTTGGAAACCTTTGTTAAGTGCTCCTGGGTTCGAAGCTTTGCCAGACAATGTTTTTGCATGGGTCACATGGGCGACGTAATTTATCTGACGGCATTTTTAACGACTAGGATTCTCTGTGTTCTCTCCCAGAAAGTTTGAACAGGCTGTAAAGGCAACCTGAACCTTTCCACCATGAAAAGTAATGGTGAGACCCTTGCGATTTTTATGCTGAATTTCAGAATATTTTTTGATTCTTCTGAAATTACTTCATAAAACTCTTAAGAATTCTACACTTCTAAACCTTCAGGATTCTAATAGTGCATTCTGGTCATTGTTGGGTTTTCCATGTAGCACATTTTACCTAACTTGCCTTCTTTCTGTCCCGTAACTTAAAGGTAAAGGAACTTTTGCAAATGAAATTTTCATTTATGATCTCTATTTATTTTTTTCATTATACTGTATTCTGAAGTCATGCAACAACATTTACATAGAAGTCAGCTATCTTGTGGTGATTGCAAATCAGTGATAATTCTGTTTAGAGAGAAACTACAATACAAGTGAAAAATGTATCAAAAAACCTATCTGAATCTATTTTTTAAGTATATACTGCTATTTGATATCATGTTAAGAGTCTGTACAAAATTGTTAAAGAAATTCCTACTCTGTAGAAGAGTTGATTTATCAAATCTGGTTACAGTGGTGTAGAAAGCTACAAATGTTGCAAGATTGGTTTGAAAATGATACTGTGAAACAAGTGACTGGGAAATTATTGGTGAAATACCGAAGTCTGACTCCTTGTTCCCTGTTATGTGTGTAGCACTGTTGGGCTTACTCTAAAGGAGCTGTGGCTGAGTAGTTTGCGTAGGATAAAAAGTCACCTCCAAGTTGGTGCCTTTACTGTTAATTTGAACAAAGCAGCAAAGATTCAGTTTGTCTAATGAGAAAACTACCTTGCTACCTATTGAGGTATGCATTGGGGAACAATATAAAGAAATCCACTTGGAGCCTGACTGGCCCTGAAGACTTCCCTCCAAAGTATTTAATCTACTCCCTGAGTCAAAAATGATGTTTCAATAAAGGATCTTCTTTAATATAATTTGTTCTATTTGAAATTTTTCACAATCTATTTGTATTCCCCAGATTATTGTGATTATACCTGAGTGCTCTGGGCAATCATTCACTTTCTGGTATTTCACATTCTTCCTGAGACCAAGAAAAGAGTAAAGCTGAAGCTCTAAGAATATACATTTGGTAGTTTTTATGACCAAGTCATTATCTTCTCTCTTAGTTATTCATGCCTTTCACTAGGTTAACTGTTTGTGTTTTATTTTCCTGTAGCTTAAGCATGGCTTCCATTTTAGTCTAGCAGACATATTTAAGCTCTTCATAACCTGTAAATCAGACTAATGCCTGAATCCCTATGAAAGAATATATGCACTAGAAAATGCCTAGAGATGACATTTCAATGATGAATTAATTATTATTGGGTACTTAAAAATACTCAATAGTTAACACTTGGTAAAACTCAACAAATATTAACATGTTAGCAATAAGTGTTTCAAAAGTAAATATTATAATGTTATATCAGAAAGCATATATGGTGATGTTTTAAAAATCTATATTTGAAAACTCACTGAAGCAGTCTCTATAATTAAAGCTATTCTTTGTAAACCAAAGTTCTGGTTCTGTTTTATCCCCGTGTTATTTTAAACAAGATAACAACAATGTATTTTTATGTGGAATGGAAAAGAAAGTCCCTAGCCTACAGTCATTCCTAAAAATGAGGGGTAATTAATTTGTTATTATATATGTCACAGAATAACAATTTCATTAGTAGGAATGGTGAATTTAATTGCTTAAGGCTTGTACAGTTTTTGCAGGGTAGCTGTTTACTTTGAAATAGTGCAATCTTATTAGGCTTGCAGAAATGTTAAGAAAAATATTGCCACTTTTTCTCCTCTCCCACTTGAGTGGTGGCACACTACACAGTCAAAATGAATGTCTAAATTGTGAGGAATTAGGGAAAAAAAGATAAAATGTTCCCTTTTTACCTTCAGTGGGTCAGCAGCCATAGTGCTTCCACTGCCTTTGGAACCTCTGACCACATTAAGCTCCTCTGTTCCTGCCAGTCTCATCTGCTAAACACATCCCTTTACTCAGGTTGTAGCCAAATCCCATCTGAGATGTTTCAGCTTAGGACACATGCTGACACAAGAAGCTATTAAGTATGGGATTTTGGTTTGAGACTCAATTATGTCAGCTGCACCCGTCCTCCTTGATCTACAGCAGTTTTCTAGTGAGATGGTGCTAACCCAGGAACTGGAAAGTCCTTAACCACAAGCTAAATACTATAATCTGAGGATATTCCAACTTGCTCATTATTTACCATCTGTTTTGGAATAGAAGGTGGAGGGAGGATTACAACTTGGCTGCAGAGTAATCAGATGTATGTAATATTTTCAAGGGAAGAAGTCCATTTTTAAGTGACTTTTATTTTTAAAAAGCTTCCAACAGCAACAAACTTTCAAAAGATGCAGTATACATTAAGAGATGTCAGTTATATGCATTTAATATACCCAAATTTTATATAAATTTAAATTACCATCTGGGGCAATATTGCAATTTGAAGGTGCAAGAACTGCTTCAGCTTGTTGCTGGAATAACTGTTGCAGTTATAATGCATCTTTTAATACTTATTATGTACTATAGTAAATTAGGTACTCAATATTTAAACAAACATTTGGATTTTTTTACCCAGTCACCATCTTCCTCATTTTGGAGGTGAAATGGAGTGCAGAGTGTATAAAGGTCAGTTTCTTAAAGGTATTTACAGTCGTTTTAAATGCATGTAGGTGCCTTAAGACCAGATGCATTTCAGTATTTATTTAAGTGAAACTTTGAACAACTGTCAAAGTCAAAAACAACATCTGGACATGATAATAACTTTATTCTGAAGTTCTAGTTTAACACTCTTTGTCATTAATCTGTTCCCTCCCAACTCTCCTGTTCAGCTACATTTGAAAAGAAAATTGATGGTTCTTTTTCCAAGCTGGGTCTCTTCCTCTGTCTTATTTTTCTTTCCAGTGTGTGTTATTTACACCAGTGACTAAGTGTATAGTTTGTCATTCTGTGAATAAAAGTCATCAGGAACTATAGCCCGTACTTGGAAAAAGAGTATCGCTAAGATCAGCACTTTGCATTGTGTGTGACCAGATCAGTTTTGCTTTCCATAATGTTATGTAGCAAGAAAATGAAGCTCATCATGAACTTACACTTTCTGGGAACCCATTTTTTTCTCTGAAAAGCTGATACAGGGTTGCAGAGTTATAATGTTTTGTCTGCAAAACGGAATGTGTATTTTCCCACTCCTAAGGAAATTGGCAGCCTCTTGTCTGAGACAACTGCAAGTCAAATGCCTGTATTAGTGTCCTAAGCATTCTCCTGATACTTCGTGTGATGGTGTCTCCTCCATTCATTCCACTTTACAGGCAAAACAAAAACTGCCCCATTGGCTCAGGCTATGGCTTGCTTAGTCTTGCAGTTCTGTCTCTGGTAAAAATCAATACTGAATGCTGTAATGGAAGAAGTGGGGAGGACTGCAGCGATCCCACAGTCCCTTTTCCTGCTACCAAGATTTTACTCCAGCCGTGAGCAGAGATTGATGTTCAGTGCTAAGTTGCAAGTTTGTTCATTCCTAAAATGTTTGCAATAATTCACAAAGCTCTGGCCATTCCTGCCTTGTGTTTGACTGTCTAACTTCGCTAATACCTTCATAGAATCATCGTGGTATGATTTGGGTTGGAAGAGACGTTAAAGATCATCTAGTTCCAACCCCCCTGCATTGGTAGGGACACCTCCCACTAGACCAGGTTGCTCTCGACCCCATCCAACATGGCCTTGAACACTTCCAGGAAGGAGACATCCACAACTTCCCTGGGCATCTTATTCCAGTGTCTCGCCATCCCCATAGTGAAGAATTTCTTCCTAATACTCAACTTAAATCTCCCCTTTTCCACTTTAGAACCATTACCCCTCATCCTGTCACTCCATGCCCTTGTAAAAAGTCCCTCCCCAGCTTTCCTGTAGGCCCCCTTCAAGGACTGGAAGGCCACTATAATGTCTTCCTGGAGCCTTGTCTTCTCCAGGCTGTACAATCCAACCTTTCTTGGCCTGTCATATTCATTTTGAGGAAGCAAGTTTAAATGGTTATAAATTACAATACAGGTCATTTGTTGAGGATGGATGTAGCATGAAGGACTCGGTTTTATTTTGATTTTGTTTAAAAAAGTTTTTAAATCAGCGTTTTGACCTTAAACAAGTGTATTTCCCATTTTCAGGTAAATTGGTGGAAAGGAAAATTCTGAACATTCACTTTGCAGACAGTAGATTATTTTCTTTTTTGCATCAGACTTTATAAATGGTATTCTGTCCTTGTAATAGTGAAATTATAAATAATAGTATTCTCTGATTTAGGTAATACACTTTTTTCTTATCAAGCTCTTGCTTGTTCTAGTCTCTGCATTTTCACTTGAAATCTGTCTACTCTGTCTGGGGACATGCTGTTCCCTGGACATTAAAAATCCCTTTCTGTGCTTCATTATCATCTTCTGTTTGTGGAATCAGGATTTGAAGTAAAGTGGATGCTGGGCTTGGGACCAATCTTGTACTGGAAAAAGCATGGATCTGGGTGCTGAAAAGGATGGACCAGAAGGGATCTGGGAGTAATTTTTACATTTATATGAACAGTTCTTTTTATAGGTGGTTTATAGGTGATTGCCATCAACTTTTTAATAAATCTTACCCTTCAGGTCACTTGTAATGGTGAGAACTTTATTACGCTTGAATTACCCTGCTGTGAAGAATTAGACAGTGGAAAAGATTAGTAGGACCTATTTTAAATTATATCTCTCCTAACAACTGTGATTATCCTTTTTGCTCTCAAACAAGTGATCTCTAGCGTTCAGCCAACTCCATGCTCCCAACAGATTCCATGTGTGATTTCT